AAAACTCTCTCTCTCTCTCTCTCTCTCTCTCTCTCTCTCTCTCTCTCTCTCTCTCTCACTCACTCACTCGGCTAGCCACGCCGCGGGCCATTTTTCTTTTGTTTTTTTCATAGGAGATGGCTATGGCGGGATCTTTGTCACGTTCTTTGGCGGAGGACGAGCGGGAGGGGGAGCGGGAGGAGCGGACTGAGCCGGAGGACGGATGGGAAAAGGAGCGGGAAAAGGAGGAGTGGGAGGAGGAGCGGGAACAGGTGCGGGAGAAGGAGCAGGAGGGGAAATGCGAAGGGGCGGAGGAGCCGCGGGAGGAGGAGCTGGAGAAGGAGGTGCGGCAGGGGAAACGGGAAGTGGGTTAGGAGCGGGAGAAGGAGCACGAGGAGAAACGGGAAGGGGCGAAGGAGGCGCGGAAGGAAGGGCGGTAGGAGCGGGAGGGGGAGCTGGAGGGGAAACGGTGTGAGGAAACCCGGGAAGGGGCACCTACCGCTCGCTGAAGCCAAGAACCACGGTGACTGTCACTCACCGCGCCCGCTTTAGAGGTCCTCAGCGGTCGGCAGGGGCTGTGGTGTTCGTTTCGGCTGTCACGCTCCCGCTCAGAAACACCCTGAGCATCAGTGCTCCTTGACTAAGATCCGGCTCATCTTACATTGGCAAGCAAAGCTAACACCAGTTCAAACAGGAGACCGCACCCAATGAACAGTGTGAGTTCAAAAAGTCAAACAAGAGCTTACTTACAGTGAGTTGAGAGATGGACAACGAGTTTAACGAAGCTCCGTGTTCAGGGAAGGGCAAGAAACGACCGCAAACCAAACGAGGCCCTATCTTCAGCAAACAGCAAATGTAACTACAAATCAAAATTAGAGTCGATTCGGGGTGGTAGGTAGTTACTTTGGGAGCGGAAAACACCCCCCTGTCAAAAGACTCTTCAGAGCTCGAGACCAATATCCAGATTGTTAAGGAAAAAAAAAAGAATAAATAAAATTGAATATTCAATAAAAGGGAGGTTCAAAAGTCACCCATCTTTATCTGTTCTTTCCAGTCCAACTCTCTCTTTCTCTCTCTCACCCTGTTTCTCTCCCGCTGATCCTCCTTTCTGTTCACCCACTCTCTGTTCTCTCCCCCTCCCTCTGTTGCTTTCCCTTTCTGTTCCCTTTATCTCTCTCTCTCCCTCACTGTTTCTCCCCTCTCTCATGGAATTCTCTTTCTCTCTCTTTCTCTGTTGCTTTCCCTTTCTGTTCCCACTATCTCTCTCTCTCTCCCGCTGCTCTCTCTGCAGTAAACAGTCGTGTAGTGTGATCTCACCGAGTACTTCTCATGTAACGGGTCCACTTCAGCAAGCTGATGATTAAACAATATTAAAAAACGTGTTCCTGTGATAGTAATAGCAGAAGAAATTCTCGTTTTTCTTCATGCATGCGAAGTACTCAAGCGGTCAGACCAGCGTTCTGTCTCTTCCCATATACCTAACCCATCTCAGGAGAGAGATTATTGTCGAATATTCACGATATGAACAGGTTTAATGCTGAATGTTCTCTACCATGTATCTGGCCCGTTGCAGCAGGCAGATTAACATCGAATTTGCAACATGTGATCTGACAGCAGCAAACAGTAATATCGACCCCCGATTCTCTGCTAGTGTGAAGTTTGATGAAATGAGAAAATCGGCGCCTGTTCTCTTTCGTGAATCTGGCCCGCTGTAGCGGGCAGATGATAGTCAAATATGTAAGTCAAGCTCGCGTGTGACATCAGTAAGCAACTCACCCGACGGTTCTTCACTTGTGAGCAGGATGGGGAAAGAACTGAACTGCGAAGAAAGACTGCCTTCACGGTTGACGGGCAGATCTTCGCCCAACACACAAGCTTCTGAGTTCACTTGGCTAATGAGCGTAGCAGACGCCTGTTATGCTGAATGAAAATCTCGCCTGTCCGCCTTTCCAGCCAGATTCGCTAGGTTCAGGTTATCAGCGCCCATCCCTCAATCAGGCTTTTCACGCGAGCGACGGATGGCGGTAGCGGGTGGAGTGCGCCATGCACACCACCTCTTCCGTTTCCGAACTGTTGTCCTCGCACCGCTGTTCGGTGGGCCCCTCGCCGCACTCCACAGTCCACGTTTCTCAAGAATCGCCCTTCACTCCCTGATAGCTTGCGTACTGACCCATCATGTCTCTTCCGCACAGCCTCACTGCTGACTGTATGCCGAGCGGGCACACTTCAGACTAACTTCAGCGGAACAACCTCATCTGCTGGCGGCGCACACCTAGCGCGCCTCCAGTCACGTTGTTCCAACACTGCTCGAGCGCCTCTGTGCAGTCGTTAGCCGAGCACATCATGTGCACGACATAGCTTCTCTCCTTCCCCCGCTGACCGCTCTCTAGCGCGCACCAGTCTAATGCCGGCTGGGTACACCTGGCCCGTCCGCTCAGTCTCCCCTCTTCCCGTAACAACCTGTGCCTCCGTGCAAGAGCACTGGGTACGACTCGCACAGTTGTCGTTGCAACAACCTCCGAGGACGTCCGCGGGGAACACCGTGCACGCAGCCGCCCTCTCTGTCCGAATGCCCAGTCCTTCCCGCAGCTCTCCGTTATATTCAGTTTGAAAATGCGGGTCCCATACTCCGAAGCTCGCCCCCTGCATTCCCCCCTTGGCCACGGGCCCTAGCGAGTCAGCGATGCCTATAAAAATAGGCCCTTAGGCCCGGAGTGGCCACGGCGTCGGGGCAGGGGACCCCTTGTGAATTCACCGGTACGACCAATATCTGCACGGTACCTTGCGAAGCCATGTGGCCCTTCAGACCTAGAAGTACCAGCCTCATAGAACGCAGTAATCTCTAGGTAGCAGAACTAGTCCCTTGAGCCAGCCAAACTGAGTCCAGTTCCACAGATTTGAAATACAGCTCAGCGGCCAACTCCCCTTTAGTCAGCATATATCCAAAGGTTAACACTTTTATCTGCCGCTGACCACACTATCCATAGAGAGCCCTTACCGGCAGTAGACAGTACCATACAGCACCATAGAACCGGAGCAATTGTAGCATTCTTTGACCAATCGCTGGATCAACGTGCGTAAGTGTCCCAGGCTAGCACACACACCAAAATAGTGGTACCGCGTTGTGGTGTGCCATGGGAATGCCGAATCAATGAAGGTAAGAAGGTAGACAGAGTCTTTCAGCAGCATTACCCATCCGTACCATACTGAACCGAACCCTGAATAATAGCCTGTCCCCGATCGGAAATCAACAAGTTGTGGCGTCACCATGCCAATTTCGTACCTTGAACTAGCCAATTTGAACTTGTCGCGATGTTATACCTCAGCAATCCGTACCAGTCAATGTCAAACCTGGAATGCTCAGTCAGGCTCGCTGTAACTCGTACCATACCGAAGCCGAACCTGAAATAATAATCCGGGGTCCCCATGACTTGTGTCGTGTCGATACCGAACCAGTACGGAGCCTGAAAATCATGCCGTGCAGTGTACCATGACAACGTTGAACCAATATCGAGCCTGAAACATGTTGGCCGTTGAATGCCGAAAAACGTGAATGTTGCCGAACCTCCCGGAACCATGTATCCAGACCAGGGTTGTCAGGCGGGGGCCCCCGGGGGCAAAGCCGGGGTAGGGGTTCGACCCCCGGACCCCCGCCGCCGGGGTAGGGGTTCGACCCCCGGACCCCCACCGCCGGGGTAGGGGTTCGACCCCCGGACCCCCGCCGGCGCCCCGACACCCGCACCCCCGGACCCGGCACCCGCACCCCCGG